ATGCCCAGATTGTAGGCCAAATACCCAGTGTGGGGCATGCAGGAGGTGGCCAATCAATGTTCTCTCTCATCAATGTTTCTATCTCTCTCTTCCTCTCCCTTCCTCTCTCTAAAATCAGTAAAGAAAAACATAAAAAAAAAAGAAAGAAAGAAACATCTATGTGGAGACTTAAAGAGATTGAGGAAGGTTGGTAAGTCCTGAGGGGAACAGCATGGTACCTTGGTGAATGCCCTGTGGTCACAGGTGCTGGGGCCCACTCACCACCCCCAGGCTCTGAGTATAAGAGTAGATCTACCAAGCCCATATACTAGGATTGAAATTCATGATTTCAGTTTATCAATTTACAACAAGAAGCATAACTTTTGTAAGGGCTGGTCACTCATATCCCCTAGGCATTACCCTTTCTCCCACATGGACAGACATATCACATTCAGAAGTTGGTGACCACAGAATCAGAGGAGGAGAGTTTGTCTCCTGATTTGGAGGTTGATGACAGTGTGTCCTTCACCCGATGGGGGTGTCCATCACCACCATAGACCTTGCCAATGAGACTTGGGCCCCTGGCCTAGATACAGATGTTCATATAGGTCTAGTTGTATTGACCTCCACGACTCCTCTTCTCTACCTTTGGCTAAATAATTCCATTCCTTTCAGAATAAAATGTTAGTGAAGTAAATGAAAGTCACAGTCAGATTCTGCTGGCTTGGAAATTATTCTTTTTAAGGTTGATTATCAATAGGTCTCCGATTTGATCTATTCCAATGTTTAACATTTATAAGTAATCCCTCCTCATTTGTACCTAACATTATACCTTACTGCATCCCCCAGATTCATCCACGAAGACACAGGAGGTTAGAGGAGATGGATTGCCTGTTCTCACCTCTCTTTGACTGCACTGTTACTTGACTTCAGTTTTAGAACCACTTATGCCTTCATATTGCCCACACAGAGGCTTCTCGTGCCAGGGTCATCCCTTTCCTCTTCTTAGAAGCTCCCTGGGAACATGGATCCTGAGAATCGTGTCTATTCCAAGGCAAAAATGGGCTCCATGCTTTCATGGCCAGAATCTCCTGTTGGGACTAGAGTAGGGACGGAAGGGCTGCCGTCTGTGACTTCCTCCCAAACCCTTTGGGTAGATCACACACTCTGTGCCTCCTTTCCTCTGCGAGGTGTGATCAGTCAGAAGATCTGGGTTTAGTAGACCTCTGTCATTTTCTAACTGCATGCTTTGGACACCACTAAAGAAACTCCATTTCTTATTTGATATGAGCTTGATTATATATAATTATATTATGTTGCCTTCCCATAGTCACAGGTCTATGTAGAGATTATATGAATTAATGCATGTGAAAGGAGAGATGCACCCATTCTATTTCTTCAACAAATAATTGCTGAATGCTACCGTTTGCCAGGATCTCCTTTAGGCACTGGGGACTCGGCAGGAACAAAGCAGGCAGGTGTAATAATGATGGATTTTGCCAAATTCCCCTTCATTGAGTCAGTATCATTTTATATTCCCACCAGAAAAGTGTGGGAGTGCCTCTTCTCCACAGTCTCAACAACAAAGGCTGTTCTCAAACTTTTAATATGTTTTTAAATTGATTTTTTAGAGAGAGAAGAAGGGAGTGGGAGAGAGAAACATCGATCAGCTGCCTCCTGCACACCTCCTACTGGGGGTCAAGCTGGCAACCCAGGCATGTGCCCTGACCGGGAATCCGACTGGGGACCTCCTGGTGCATGGGACGACGCTCAGCCTACTGAGCCACACCAGCCGGCTGTTCTCAAACTCTTAGAATTTTGCCAAGCTGATGGTGAGAAATGGTATTTCAATATAGTTTAATTTGTGTCTCTATTATTACGAGCAATCTTACTACCTTTTCACGAATTTAAAGATCTTTGTATTTCTTTTGTCAACTATCTGCTATATCTTTTGCCCCTTGTTATTTCTTATTTTGTGTATTTGTGTTTTCTCACCCACACCTTTTTTACCTTTAAAATAATTAAGTTGGTTATTGGTTTTCTACTTCGTTAATTCAAAATATAGGTTATTTATTTATTTTCTTAGTTACGTACTTTATTATTTTTTGTTTTATTGTTTTTTATTTTCTTAGTCATTAATGTCTTCTCATACTTTTAAAAATTCTTCCATATATATTTTTCTTCTTGGTATTTTTTATAGCTTTTCAATTTGCACATTTAATTAATTTATTGTGATTTCTGTTAACGTAGTTGAGGCTATGAGATTTTCTCGGAGCATTCATGTAGTTGTGCTCTATAGATCCTTGTATACAGGGAGGGAAAAGTAGATTTACAGTCATGAGTATTCAAAGCAGAGTTTATTATTGTATTATTAATTATTATTGTATTATTAATTATTATTGTCATTAACCTACTTTTACCCGCCCCTGTATTTAGTTCATTGTCCTCATTTTCTAAAAATTCTGCAATTTCATTTTGTATTTATCTCCTTTTATCCAAGAGTTGTTTAATGGAGTGCATGTCTGTTGTTAATTTCCCAAAACAATAACTACAGAGACTTGACAATATTTGTTGATATTATGTGTGTCTGTAAAATGCTATTTACATTATGTCTATTTTTGAATAATGCATTGAAGTTTTCCTTATGGCCTACTATTAAATATTCCACGTGTAGAAAATATAGCTTGTATTTTATAGTTAGTGTATTGGTGGGTTATAAATATATAAAGTTATTTATATTGTATCTTATTTATTATTTATTGAATTCTTCTCTACACTTACTGTCTTGAACTGAACGTACCTGATTATTACCATGTTTTAAAAAAAAATTGTCCTTGCATTTTCTGTAGTTTCTGCTTTATGAGAGTTGTGCTACATTATTGAATATTGTTATTAAAGAATTATTAAATTATTAAATTTTGTTTTAATATGTCTTTTCCTGGTATATATATATTAACCCACACACCTCTTTTAACATAATTTTCTTAATCTCTTTGATTTTGATGTCTCTTGTAAAGAGCATAGACTTAAAGCTAGTATGAAAAACTTGTTATTTTAATACTGAATTAAGCCTTTTACATTAATATTATAAATAATATGTTTGACTTTAGTCTGCCACAATCTTTTATGTCACATTTATGCAAATATATGTCTTCTACAGAAATAACATTATTCACTATGCTGTCTGTTTTATTTGCTTTTTCTTCTGGAATATCTTTTGGTGTTGGGAAAGGTTTGTATTTTTGTTCCAATGTTACTTTTATAGGAACTACTTTATACATTCCCCCCTTTTAAAATATTCTGTCTATTCATCCTCTACTCTAAATAATAATGGAATTTCCTGGAATCATTTTACCCTCCTGTCTTCCTCCCTCAATATCTATCTAGTCGCAGTTTACTTAGAAGTATATACTTAAGTAAGACAATCAGTGAACTGACTCTACTTTTCATATGCTTTCTCCTTCTCCCTCCATTTATTACTGGTATTATATTTGAATTTTCAGAGCATATAACATTAAATGCTGTTCTGTCATCTTTATTTCTACTATTTACTCTTAGTTCTATAGTTAAATGCATTGAAATACCCTTATATGGCAGATACTTTTCCTAGGATTCTGGGATGGTTTCTTGTGTTTGTTTTGCTGCTCATTCTCTAGCAGATTGCCCAGGAAGGGATTATGGGAACAATATTCCCTGAGTCCTTGCAAGTTCTTTGCTGTTTCTCTTTGGTTTTATACCAAAAGGTCGATTTGGATGGATATAAGATTGCTTTGTCTTCAGAAGGGCAACCATACCTTTCACACATGCTTGCTCCTTATGATTCTGGCTCTAACTCTGGGTTTTTGTTTTGTGTATTAGTTTTCTATTGCTACTGTAACAAATTTCTATAAACTTAATGGCCTAAAATAACAAAAATGTATTTCCTTGCAGAATTAGAGGTCAGAAGTCTAAAAATGAAGATGTTGGAAGGGCTGCGTTCCTTCTGGAAATTCTAGGAGAAAATTTGTTTCCTTGCCTTTCTCAGTGTCTAGAGGCTACCTCATCTGCCTATATTGGCTCCTGGTGCATTGTTCCAACCCCTGGTTCCATCATCCCATCTCCTTTCTTACAAGGCCCCTTGTGATTACATCAGGCCCATCCAGACAATCCAGAATAATCTCACCCTCCCTTTTGCCACATAAGGACACATGTCCACAGGTTTGTTGGAGTAGGACATGCACATCTTTAAGGGTTGTTATGCAGCCTAACATATTTTATTTTCTCCTTGTATATTTCCCTTACTTCCTATAAACAAATAATGCAATGAAAAATATGCATTTTGCAGAATCTAGTTATTTTGTTGTGGGAGGCCTTACTGTAAGAAGCAGAAGCCCTGTTACAATTTTCATAGGGTCCACTCAAACCTCTGGACCTGACATCTCTAGGTTAGGTTTATAAATCTGTATTTTAAAAGCTACTCCCAAGGTGATTCTTACAATAAACTAGAGTTGAGAGGTTCTACTCCATAATTTGTTCATATCCAGGGGGTGACATCATGAATGGTCAGTGCTGATGCTGATGAGGAGGGAAGCTCAGGGGCTCTGGCTCCTGGTTCAGTTCCTGGTAATACACACCTTCTTCACCCCCTACACAGTCCCTGCAGCCTTATTCCACTTACTGGTAACCTTACGTCAGCCTTCCTATGTGACCTGACAGGTGAACAGAGACTTAACCTTCTAGAATTACAGGTCATGAAAGACTGAGAATCCTTTGCCTACCTAAATCCTCCTTGTCCTTTGATGGCATTACAAAAAAAAACCAAAAAACCTCTACTGGTTGAAACCTTTTCTGATCCATCTCTGCCAAGTATAAAAGTATGATATTTTCTCCTTTTGATTTTTTTTTATAACTCTTTGAATCTTATGCAATATTTTCTCAACTGGATGCTCTTCAAAGGTAAGGACCATGTCCAGTCCTCTGTCACAGCCCTGTGGCCCTTAGCCTATCATGTCAATAGTGATTGAAGGGGACATAGAGCCCAGTTGTTTAGACAGATTTTATTGATGCACCAGGATAGATGTGGCAGTGGACAGATGGCAGTTTGTCTCTATGAAAAACCCCACACACTGAGCAACATTCGGTTAAAAGGGATAACTTGCTCTACGTCTTCCTGCTTTTAAGAGGGTCTGCACAGCAGAGCAGGCAAGAGAGAAGAGTTTCAGACAGAAAGCACCTTGCAGAAATGGCCTCACTGAGCAAGACCTAAGAGAGAAGCACCATGATTAAGATCTTATGTCCAGGGACATGCCAGGTGGACTGGCCAGGGCAGGACAAGCCAGTGTCTTTCTAGCTGTCTTCTGGTTCTAGGCACTGGAGTCCAGGGGTGGGACACTCATGGCTTGTTGCTTTTGAAGTAGGAATACAGCGCCCTGGCTGTGAGGCCTCGCTTCCCTTCGGGCTGGGCTTCCTCCTGGCCCTGCACTGAAGGCACAGCAGTGTGCAGGCTGCCCTGGTCCTCGCTTGGAATCACCATCTCCCTTGTGTGGTCATCAACCCACTCCTCCTTAACCACCAAGGGCTCTTCTTCTTCCTGTCCTCCTGTCGCCCCGCTCCCTGGGTGAGTGCTGCTGCTGTCCTGCTTGCCTGTCAGAGTGCTGGTTCCAGTCTGGGCCTGTCCTCTCGGCACTGTCTCTTCTGCCTCAGAGCTGCTCGCTTGTGTCCACCTTTGACCACTTCCTGGCTCCATCTGGGTCTGTCCCTGTTCTCTAGCCCCTATCTGGCTTGGAGTCTGGCTTCTGCCCTGATCCACTGTCTGGATATGTGACCCTGTCTCTGTCTGAATGTGTCCTCCTGTCACTACCTGGCTCATCTGGCTCCTGTCTTGACTGTGGGTCTCAGTCCCTTTGGTCTGGCCATAGGTGGCCTCCTGTGGCTGGGTGCTGGTGTTTCCCATCGGCTGGCTCCTATGCTGCTCCATGGTTTGGGTGGTACCTGTCTGGGTCTGAGCTCCAGTTCCAGTAATAGTCTCACTTGTCTGGTGTTTTCTGTTCTGTTCCCTAGTCTGTGATGGTCTCTCTGACACCCTCTCTCTGGCCTGATGGCTCTGGTCTTCTCCCACTCTCTGGTTTGGCTTTATATGCTTGCTCGCTTGTGTCTGTTGTCTCTCTTTCTCCTGACCCTGGGGCTCGTGCTGCCCCTTGTGGTGACTGACCTGAGAAGAGCTGGTGTCCTGACCCTGGGGTTCGTGCTGCCTCTCGCGGTGACTGACCTGAGAAGAGCTGGTGTCCTGATCCTGGGGCTCATGTTGCCTCTCGTGGTGACTGACCTGAGAAGAGCTGGTGTCCTGACCCTGGGGCTCGTGCTGCCGCTCGTGGTGACTAACCTGAGAAGAGCTGGTGTCCTGACCCTGGGGCTGAGCCTTAGTTCCGCCCTGCTCTCTGGAAGCCTGTCTGCTCTGTCCACCACTGCTACTCTCATGATGCTGTCCTTCCCCAGTGCTTCCCGATTCTGCGACACTTCCGACACTTCTCTGTCCTTCTCCCAGCTCTGGCGAGGCCCCAGGGGGGCAGCTTCTAGACTCTTGTGGTCCACAAGCTCCCCCAGGACTCTCACTCAAGGTCTTAAAACAAGCCTGTGCGACTTTAAACACCAAGACCAGGAATTCCTTGAATTCTACAGTCCCTGTGTCGTCTTCATCCAGCAGGCGCAGGACTGCATCCACAGTGGCCGGGTCGTGGGGTTTCTGGGGAGAAGACGAGGCAAAGTCAGCAGTCCTCTCCTGAACGGGGTGTGGTTAGGCTGGTCCACTCCGCTTCCAGAATCCCACCGCCAGGCCTGGAGCCTACCCTCTCTGCACCCCTTCGCTCCTCCCCACACTGCTACAGCAGCACGCACACGAAATCCCTTTCATTGTTTAGCGTCTCTCCCCCTCATGGGTAGGAAGCACCTCTGGTTTTGTATCCTCTGTGTCTGGCACAATTTCTGGCGCACAGGAGAATCAGACAAAGATTTCATGAAGAATGAATAAATGATTGCACTCGTAGTGATTTTGGGCTGTCCCCAGGCCCTGGCCCCTGACCCCGAGGCCATATTCTCACCAGCAAGAGCCCAACACCAAGAGAAACACAGCAGGAACATGACCTCATGGGAATTTTGTGAGATCCTCATGGAGGCTCAGGTGTTTTTTTCCTACTTAGGGTGGGTGGAGGTCCCAAGGGACCACAGGTTGCCCTGAGCATGCAGAAGCAGCATCCTGATATGCCCACACATTCCTGGCCCAGGACCTTCACCATCCTCACTGCTTTAGCGTGAACCCAAGGCAGAAAGAACCAGGGAAGTGTACCAAGGCCCTGGGTCTGGTTTGCCAGGGAGGGGCTCCCAGGCAGGGCCTATTACCAAACTGCTCTCCAAGCCCTCATTTCTGATGCGAACACTCAGCTAATGTTTTGGAGCAATTGCCTTGTACAGGGCACAAAGCTGTGCTTCTCATGAATGTTTAGTAATGGATGACTAAATCTCCGCTAGCGGAGTAAATGGTTACCCTAGCAGATTTAAAAAGCAACAAGCAGCCATTATTTTTATTTCTAGAATATTCAAAGGCTGTGTCTCTCTCTGAGCTGTCCTGTTAGAGTCCTTTTATCCTGTCTCCCAACTGCAATCAGTTGAAGTCAAGGAACTTTCTCTAAAGACTGGGTCTGTCAACTCCAGTGACCGTCCCTTGTTCCTCCCTGCTTTTCCGCCTGCACAGCCTCCAGTAGGACTTGCAGACTTGGACCTAGCAGCTGCCTCTCAGATTCCTCAGGCAAAACTTCTGGTCTGCGGGCAAAACGTCCTGTCTGCCCTCAGCCCCTCCCACCTGGCTGGGCACATCGTACCACGATGACATCTGCAAACTCGTGCTCCAGGAGCCCTTTCAGCTCCCCCCGGCTGAGCACCGCGCAGTCGCCCTCGGTCCTGGCGTAGCGTTGGAAAGCACTGATGATCCCATTGATGTTCCGCAGTAGCTGGGGCATCTTGGTAGTTGAGCTGGAGAAAGAAGAAAAGCGCCCCCTAGGGCGCCACAGTCACCCTCAGTGCCCTCCTCGGGAGCACTCCTCCCCCACGTCCTTTCTCCACAGTCTCCAGCTCTGCTTCTGGTCTCTCTTGTTTTCCTTCGTCCTTTCCTTCCTAAGGGATATGTAGAGGGGACGCAGGGGCTCTCCGTGGCTAGAGGCAGGCTCCTGCGTCAGCCCGCCACCTACCGGCCAGGTGGGCTAGGGCAGGTTGCTATGCCTCTCCGGGCCTCAGTTTACTAATCTCGGAACGAAGGCAATACTAGTATTTACTTTAGAGAATTCTTCTGAAGATTAAAAAAGATTGTTCACTTAAAGCCCTTGATAGATACTGGCTTATATGAAATGTCACCTATTAAATATCATTACTATACACATATATTTGCATACATCTGTGTATACTGCTCACAGAGCACTTCCATATGCATCATCTCTCGTCATCCTCATCATCTGTACCTTGCTATAGGGCTAGGGAGCAGAGAGAGAAGTTGGGTGATTTGCCTAAGACCACACAGCTTGTAAGGCGCCAAGGAATCCCAGAACCCACATCTCCTGAATCCAAATGCAATGACCTTCTGGACAATGCCCTCTGGACAGTCTATCTTTGCCCGTCACGGGGTGTTGGAGTCCTGCTGGGAACACCAACATGCAGTAAGTGGTATGAGATCAACTCCTGCCTCAGGCTGGGGCCAGGCAGGAACCAGGGGCCCAACTCTACCCTTCCTCGCTGCTCTGTAGGGAGGTGTTTAGGAAGAGGCTGGGCCACCACCTTTTGGGACCACTGAGGGAGGGGGTGCTCTCCCTGGGCGGGAGGTCTGCCAGTTCTGAGAGTCCAGATCTCTCCGAATGTGAGCTCTGTCCTCAGCGTTGGGACTTGCCAGCCTGCTCAGAAGTATGTGGCTCCTTCAAGCCTGTGACCCTGGTGGCCTGTGAGGAGGGTTCCCAACTGAAGGGAGAGATTTTTTTCTCATCAGCCAGGGGACTGGGCTCAGGTTGAAGTGAGTTCTGGGTGTGGCTGGATAGGAAAGAGGCAAAGAGAACTGGAGGTGCAGATGCAGAAGTCTCAGGGAGACCAGAGGGAGAGGCAGTGTCTGAGATGGCAGGGTTCAAATGCGGGGTGGGGGGGCAGAAGGCTGCAAGATGGGATGGGGGGCTGGCACCGTGGAGAGGAAACGACAGGGCGCAGGAAGAGGAGCGCCCGGCTGGAGAAGCAGGAGAGAGAAGGCAGGAGACCTGCTGCTCTTCAGGAGGTGTCCTTTCTGTGACCAGGTAGCCAAAAACTTCAGGCAGCCTTTGTTTTCTTGTGTACATCAAAGTACAAAACTCAGACTATTGCATCTCAACAGAGACATGAAACAATCCTGATTTTTTTTTTAACCATGTGGCAAACCTTAACCATTGACCTACAAGCAGTAAAAATAATGAGATGACCTTTTAGTTACACTTCAGATCCCTTCGAATATCGTCTTCCTGAATATTGTCTTGGGGTGGGGAAGGGCCGCCGCATCAGCCCTTTGCTCCCTGAGAAGTTGCACTCCCATTGTCTGAGCAGGCAGAAGTAACCTGATTCTGGTCTCACAAACCCTGACTACTGTCAAAAAGCTTCCAGAACCTTAAGAACAAGAGACCTTGGCTGATCCAGGAAGGCATGTGGGTTGTTCTGCTGCTACTGCCAACGCAGCCTCCCAGGGAGAGGAGCTGCTGCCGACAGCACAGGGCGGAGGGGTGCCCTTTCCCACGTGCACTGCTGCTCCCGAGGCTCAGTCAGAGCGCACACTTTCTGCCCACAGCCCTGGTTTGATGAGGTCAGGTCCCCGGGACACAGAGAGAAAGAGGTTCCTCAGGCAGGCACTTACCCAATGCACAGGCAGGATGAGGCAAGAGGCTGCAAAGTGTGTGTGCTGTGCCGGGGCAGCGGGGCAGGAGCCTTATATAGAGGACTTACTCGGGCTTAGCGCTGGCCTTTGGACAAGATGTCCCGCCCCATCAAAAGGCTTGATTCACCCAAGGCTTGGCCGAGCCCCACCTTGCTTCTGTTTCGCCCGCTGGCACTGGCCATGTTGGTCTCATTATCTGGCTCCTCCTCCTGCCACAGATGGAGCCCTCTCTCATCTGTCTTCTCCTGACAGGGAGGCTCCTGCCCCACGAGATAGGCTCAGCAGTGCTCAGCACGCTGGGGTCCTGGTGACCATTCTTTGTCTCTGTGTGACTGCAGAGTTATGAGGCTTTTTAAAAATATAGATACAAACATTCAATAATGTATTCACTATTGAGGTTTATCCTTTTCAAAGTGGTTGCTTTGGGAGGCTATACATGTTTTTCTGGTGATGATGTCATTACTTAGAACATTCTTGGAATTCTTGTTTCGGAATTGCCTTTCTTACCTAGTTTATGAGACATGCAAGGAATCCGATGGCATTTCTCTCTCTCTCTCTCTCTTTTTTTTTTTATCTTCACCCAAGGACATTTTTTGATATTTTGTTCAGATAGAGTGGGAGGGAGAGAGAGAGAGAGAGACATCAATGTGAAAGGGACACATCGAGTGGTTGCCACCTGCACGACCCAACCAGAGCCGGGGACAAACTGCAACTGAGGTACGTGCCCTTAGCGGGAAGTGAACCCCGGTCTCTCTGGATTGCAGGCCGACGCTCTAACCGCTGAGCCAAACCGGCCAGGGCCCAATGGCATTTCTCTATGGTTCGGTCTCATACTTAATTAAAACAAAGAAGGTTAATACCTCCCCTCTCCCCCGCACCCCATGGGTAGGTAGCTTTTTACAGCTGCTAGGAGAAGCTTAGGATGTCTCTGTGCAACCCTTCATTGCAAAGACAGGAAACTGAATTGGCCGACTGACTAGCGAATGTCTGTGGAGATCCTGCTTCATTTCAGACATAGAGTAGGGTCAGAGTTCAACAAGAGCAGTTTCAAAGCAGTGATTTCAACTCGGACAGTTACAGTTTGACAGTCCCAGAGAAAGTCCCCAAAAGGGTAATGGTAATAGTAATTATCATTTGACTTGATTTCACTTTCAACACTGTCTCATTTTGTTGGATGCTCATGACACACCTGAGAGGTGGGTGGTATGTTTGAGACCCATAAGTGAGGACACTGAGAAATCCTCAGAGAAGTGGCCCGTTACTGATGGAGAAGGGATGGGGCTGGACCATGCGGCTGTGAGTGACGTGCTTAGAACATCTGAAAGGTGTGGAAACTAAGGGAAAGTAAGTTGGGGAATTAACAAGCCAGATGCTTTAACTATGAGGTAGGTATTATTACATCCAATTTACAGATGAAGAAACTGAGGTACAGAGAGGTAGCTTTGTACGTTGAAGGACATAGCCTGCGGAGTTGTGCTTTTTGCAGGATTGAAATCACGGCGTGTGCAGAAACTGATGCCCAATTCCAGTTCACTGGAATCAGAAAATATTTCAACTCTTATACTCTCACAAGTAGAATGAATTGTGTGCTGCCCACATATGGAAGCATTGCTTTGCTGGTTTTATACTTCAAATTAAGGTCTAAAAGAACTGTGAAAGCAACATAAAAGGATTCTAAACTGTTTCTCATCTGTTAATTTCCCATGCCTGGAGATGCTAATGTCAACTCATCATGTGATACTCAATTTGTACAATAAATTATGAACCTGGACAAAAAAAAAAAAGAAAAGAAACTGAGGTACAGAGAGGATAGGTGAAATACTCAAGGCCACATACCCAGAAAAATGGAAGACCTGAATTTGAACTTAAGTCTGCCTGCCTCCAAAGCCCGTGTCTTTCCATGTACCTAGAGCAGGTCTGAGCCTGGGGTTGTTGGCGTGCTGTGGCCCAGAGCAGAGAGAGGTGAATGAGGTGTCTCTGCATATTGGGTGGAGAGCAGTTCACTGGAGAGGTGGTTGGGGCTAAGGGAGACGAGGGGGTGGGAGAGGCTGGGAATGGCAAGTCTCTAATTGTGTATGTCAATCTGTTAGGTTGTCTAGTCGTAATGAGTCATTACAAATGAATGACTTTGGGCAGACAGAGGCCAGGGACCCTATCTAAATCAAATTCTTATCCTCTGCTCACTCTGCCTTGGAGCAAACAAACTCACTTTTGCACTTTGATTTCTTCTTACACACTTAACTGAGAAAATCATCACTGACCACTACTTGATTTATTTCTACACATACTAACAGCCGGTATTTGCTACATATGGTGGGCTACAGATTAAGAATAAGATTCTTCTTTCCAGGAGATCAGTCTCTTCTAGAGAACAGGACATGTGCACCCAAAATAATTGTCTAGTATGGAAGACAGCCCTGGCTGGTTTGGCTCAGCGGTTAGAGCGTTGGCCCATGGACCAGAGAGTCCTGGGTTCGGTTCTGCTAAGGGCACGTACCTTGGTTGCAGTTTGTCCCTGGCCCCGGTTGGAGTTGTGTGAGTGGCAACCACTCGATGTATCTCTTTCACATCGATGTTTCTCTCTCTCCCTTCCCCCCCTCTCCCTCTCGCTCTCTCTGAAGATGAATGCAAAAATGTCCTCAGGTGAGAATAAAAAAAAAAAATAATAATAATAATGAAAGACAAAATTTTTGTAAAATGTTAAAGAAAATCAGCTGCTCATCAGACACCTTCGCCTCCACCCAGGAACACAGGATGGGGTGCAGGCCAGGGGCCTGATAGTGGGGAGTGATTACAGGGTGACCACTCAAGTCTCCCGTGAAAAAGCAGAAGATGGGAAAATTCCATCATCCCGGACTTCACACTTAGTAAGGAACAAAAGCAAGTCTGAATGCCAGAGAGCTGTGCCTGGAGTTCTTTGGGTGATGAGAGAATTCACCTGTCCACTCAGTCAGGACAGGGACAGGCATGACTCTTAGAAAAAGAACAGTGTTCAGTTTCGGGCCTCCTTATGTTCTCTGTGCCCCAACTGGGGTCTTTTCTCCCAAACCTACCCTACCTGGGCCCTGGTCAGAGCATTTCGGAAACCCAGATGCTCAAGTTCAGCCCTGGCAACGCCAGGAGTAGGCAGATACCAGAGAGACCCTTGTTGGCAGTTTCCAGTGACTTCGTGAATATCTATTGGATATTCTGGCCCTAATGCCCAACTGGACTGGATGTGTGGGCCCTGCTGTTTCTCTGAGTCCCCATTCAGGTGGACTAACATGATTATTAGCCTCCTCGGTTTGGCTAGGAGAGCTGGAAGCTGCCGTTCGAAAGGCAGTCTGAATTTCCCAGATCTAAGGGTCCAACCAATAGGCAGAGCTCCTAGACCAAGCACTGAAAGAGTCCAACCTCCTTCTCATTGGGAAAAAGAAGAACTATCATGGCAGGAGCTGTGGGAGGAGGGGGAGCTCTTCCTTTTCTTGATTGACCAGTGTTCCTGCTCAGAATCCCACGGAGGTTTGGTGGCAGCAAAGGTTTGTTGGCTTAAATGTAATGAGAATGTCCATTTCCCGCTATGTCTATTATTATCATTATCTCTGGTCAAAAGTATAGACTTGTCACCTGGCTAATTTGGCTCCGTGGTTATAGCATAGGTCAGTGGACCAAAGAGCCGTGGGTTCAATTCTCGTCAAGGGCACCTACCTCGGTTGTGGTTTGGTACCAGCCCTGGTTGGGGTTGTATGGAAGGCAGGAAATTGATGTGTCTCTCCTACATTGGTGTTTCTCTCTCTCTCTACCCCTCCTTCCCACTCTATCTGAAAATAAATAGAAAAATATCCTCAGGTGAGGATTTAAAAAAAAGTATAGACCTGTCATTCCCACAGAACTCGAGTTCACGCTGCCTTCCTGCCTCCTGCCGGCCCTTTTCCCAGCGTGAGTGCTTTCTTCTCCACCCCTCCATCCGGCCAGGACACCCCAAACACCACTGGTTCCACAGTATATTTTCAGATTACCCCAACCAGATGAGATCTCTCTTTAACACCTTAGCTTGCCCTCGGTAGTCTTTGGTTGTTCCTCTTTTACAGCATTTATTTCACTCTGTCATCCTTATCACTGCTTGTCTATTGTTTCATCCTCCTTTCTTGATTACGCCTCTGAGACAAGGCTGGTTCGTAGCAAATGTGTGACGACTTGATGTGCAAGCCCCGCCTGTTCTTCCGGAGAACACAGCTTTCCTCCGAAACCATGGGGGCTGAGCGAATTGTCCCCACGCCGTGACGGCCCCTGTTCCACCCTGCTAGAGCCACTGGGCTTCACCCTGTGCTCCTGGGGACCGAGTGGGACAGTTCGGCTCGGGGCTGAGGGGCTCCCGGGGCCACCCGGGGAAACGCTCTACCGCAGCACTACTGGACAAACTGGATTCGTGCTGGCCTCGCTGCAAACCTACAAACCTGTCTGTTCTGGTCTCCGCCAGGGTTGGTCGGCTTTTAACTATTTCCTCCTTCATTGATCAAAGCACCTACCCCTCCCAGAAAGGAAACCAGGACTCAGAGATGATGACGGGGTGTTCTGGGCACATTGAATGACAAAAAGAACATGAAGGGTGTGCAAAGGTGACAGCCAGTGCGTAGGGAGTTCCTTGTGGGGCTGGGAATTCAGTCCTTACTTAGCGGGGAGGGTGAGGTACAGTGAGCTGTGTGCCTCCAAGGTCATCCTAGGGGGCACTGGCTATTGGTACCTGTGCACACGCATGGTCTGCAGACCACCTTGATGTTAGGACGGCAAGCAGCACCCAGGCATGGCTCTTCAGCCCACACACTGCACCCCTTCACCGGCTCCATGGTTTGAGTATGTTCCTTAACCACTCTGGGCCTCACTTCCCTTACCTGTAAAATCATGGTAAGCTCTGCTTAGGACACATGCTTATTATGAGGTTAAAAACACAAAGTGGGTCTTAAACTGATGAACACTGAAACACGTGAAGGGTGTTTCGTTGCTACTTAAAGTAGCAGCAGTGAGCAGTTCGTTGGAACACAGAGAAGAGGAATGTAT